CCTCTTTGAAGGCTCCCATCTTGCCATCGGTAGCACTTCAGACCACCTCGCGCTTGAATGGCAGGGATTATGTGGCAGCAGGTCAGGCTGGCAGTGTTACAGGCCTATCAGGCTGATCTGTTGGAGGATTTGGATGAGGGCAAAGGCTTATCGCCGGAGGCAGTCAAAGAGCTGTGCCACACCACGGACTTGGCTCTTGGCTCACCACTAAGCAAACTGCTGCTGCCATTGGGCGTTAAATGGCGGCGATGGTGGCTATGGAGAGACATTTGTGGGTTAACCTCACGGCCATCGGGAAGAAAGAGAAAGACTTTCTTCTTGATGCTCCGCTTTCGCCGACCAGACTTTTTGGCACTTCCATCGAGGCGGTTGTGGAAAGGTTCAGAGAGGCGAAGGCACAATCGGCTGCCTTCAGGAAATTCATTTCCCGGCGCTCCAAATCCTTTTTGAAGGGGGATGATCGGTCTAAGGCTGAGGCTCATAGACAAGATCAGAAATCTAGCGTCGCTAACCGCGCCCCTCCTCCCTCTAGGAGTTGGCGAGGAAAGCCTACCGCTGACAGGGGAAGAAGTGATCTCAGGAACGTGCTGAATAAGAGGCGCGGTCATCCTCTGTGTCAAGACGCCGGCGCGTCCTGATCATCTTTCTCCCTCGACCTCCTCCCCCCGCCTTGTGTTATTGACCACTGCTTGCATCAGGCTCTGACTTCGGACTAATGATGTTTATATATATTCGCTGTAAAGTGAATTTTTTACTGATGGTCTGAAATCTCCCTCTTGTGAGTTTCTGGTCAATAACACAGTGGCGGCTAGCCTAAAGTGGACTAGACCTGGTTTAGGGGATCTTTGTATCATGGCCATCTGAGGATGGTCATATTCCAGCCCTGTTGTGGCAGGGTAGGTTTACTGTAGATGCAGCCATCTGAGGCTGGCTGTATTTTTATCTGCAATTAACCCTTTCCGCATTGTAGCTATCTGTGGATGGCTGTTTGGTAGAGGCGCTGTTGCCACCTTTTGGTTTTATCTATACAGCCACGGCTGGTGGTATTGCAGTGGTCCCCTTGCCTGAAGAGATAGCTTTTAGAGGATAAGCTGTCTGCAAGCTCGGCCCTACTCTAGTTGAGTGGTGGTTTCTTTAAGAGCCTGTGCCCGGACAGTGCTGTCTCCCCTCTTGGGGTTAAGTAGACAAGCCCATTTCTATGGTCTGGTAGTTCGGTCAGTCCTGCTTCTGGTAGCTCCTTCCTGTGTGACATAGCTATCTGAGGATTTCTATGTGTTAGCTCAGTTACCGCTCCCTCTTCGAGGGTCTTTAATAGTGGTCTCCTGAGCCATTGCCTATACAATGCTATCTCCCCTGTTAAGGTAGCAAGTAGATAGTCCACTCTTTGTGGTTTGGGGGGCTTATTCAACTACAGCTACCTGAAGCTAGCTGTGTTTTAATGCAGTTGCACTGAGCCCTCTCCTGGGGTGTGTTTTCCTGGATTTCAGCTATCTGAGGATAGTTGTGTGCTAGCTCAATGGTTGCTCCCCTGTTCAGGGTTTTAAGTAACAGTCTTTGAGCCATTACCTAGACAGTGTTGTCTCCCCTCTTTGGGTCATAAGTAGATAGCCCACTCTGGTGGTCTGGGTAGTTTTTCAGTCGGTTCCCTTCTTACACCTTCCTAAGTACATATATATATTTATGGGGCGGTGACTGCTCCCCTTTTTAGGGTCTTTAAGTATAGCTTTATATATATAGCTTTGTTCTGAAACAGGGATTAAAATTATTACAATGTTGCTTTTTATTCTTGGTGCGGTTCGCTTTCACACAGCAAAGTTTCTAAACGGACCAAATTTGTTAATACAAGTCACGCGCAAGTAAACTGTTCTCTCATTGGTCAAAGTTCCACGGTTTATTTTCCGGGATTCCACTAGCTGTCACGGCTGTCATCCGTCAGGATGGAACGAT